CACACACACACACACACACACACACACACACACACACACACACACACACACAAATGAATCTAGTGGTCCGTTGCCAGTGAGTTCATACTAGCTGCCCCCTGCTGCAAGGTTACCTACTGCTTCACAACACCATGTTCGTGGATCCCAAAGAAAAGGACCTCAATCCACTGCTCACCGCATGCGCAAAAGACAAAAAATATGGCCGTGTATCATTCCATGTTATAGTGGAAGATTCGTCATCGTAAAGATCATGAATCCCGTCAAGAAGCATACGATCATCAGTGCAAAAAGTTCATACGGAAAACAAAAAGGTGTCATACAGTCGTAGCAAAACGAAAAGCGTCGATCAGATCATCTCGCTTGACTGATTGATCGGCTGATCAGTTAGCATCTTTTTTTCTTTTTTTTTTTGGCTCATACAATCATCAGTGCAAAAACTTCTCCTTCGGCATCGATGGCTACTCGGAGAAGTTGCCAATATATTCTTTTTTTGCCCTTCAGCTGAACGCATGCATGGCCGGCTAACCAGGCAATCAATCAATAGATGGATCGATCAATCAATCAATCAATCAATCAACCGATCAATCCAGCATTATAACAGAGCGTTTTCGGTGATGTGGACCATAATCGGACGCTAGATCGATCTCTGTGGCACGAAATTTGAGCTAGAGTCCTTCTGAACATCCTTTAAAATTGGAACGATACAGAGTAAGCACTGTGAAGATTAGCACGGCCCCTGCGCAAGGGTGACACTCATGAACGGAGAAATGGAATGTAAAAGAAAGCCTCAGCATCGGTCAATCCAGCAAATTAGAATTGAAAGTAGACGCGAAGTGAGTGGGGCTTTCTTCCTTTCTTTCTTTCTCTTCTTTCTATCTTCTTCTTCTTTTTTCTTTTTTCTTTTTTTTTTATAATGCGTGTCATCCTTGCGCAGGGGGCATGCTAATCTTCATACTCTGTATCGTTCCAATTTTAACGGATGTCCGGAAGGACAACTCTTGTTTGTTTGTTTGTTTGTTTGTTTGTTTCTTTGTTTCTTTGTTTCTTTGTTTGTTTCTTTCTTTCTTTCTTTCTTTCTTTCTTTCTTTCTTTCTTTCTTTCTTTCTGGCTGTGTCATTAATGAAACAAGTGCGATGTGTTTTAAGTTTTTATAACCAATTGCTTTTGTGCATGTAAGTCAATGTAAGCTTCTTCACACAGTAACATAATTCCAGGCGTTGGGTTTTTGAAAAGGCAGCTCCAAAAATTTTCCCAGCAAAGAAAACATAGAAAAAAAAAAAAAACAGCCACTTGGCACTTGACTTAAAAAAAAGCAGTTTGTTTAAAACACTGGTTGACGGACCAGCGGATTTAGTCCAACCACTCTACTCTCAAAAAACTTGGTGAAAAAAAAACAAACAAACAGTTTGGTTAGCAAAATTGACAGTGCTGTGCAGTTCATAACTTCATCAAGCTCATAATTTCATAAACCATTTTCCATTTCCCCAAAAAAAAAAAAGGAAAAACAAGAAACAAGAAAAAGGGAAAAAGGGGCTGCCCACCTTGCCCTGTACACGATGCCAAGGTTCCAGTCATTCGATGAATAGCCATTGACGAATCTTCCAGCAACAATCTGGCATCATACACGGCCGCACGCGCACACACACACACACACACAAAAAAAAAAAAAAAAAAAAAAAAAAAAAAAAAAAAAAACAGTCTTATCAACTTTCATGTGCGTCTTTCCCTTCCCTTGTACGTCTTTCTTCTTTTCTCTCGTGTGTCTTTCTTCCCGTGTTGTTTTCCAAAGTACTTTGTGTGCGTGGGTGAGTGCCTTTAAGGAGTGCTAAAAAGTCGGTGCTGGGGTGTTTAGACTCTAGAGTGACTGTAACCCTACTTTAGGGGGGGCTCTGTTCGTGATGTCTGCGTGGTGCATATGGTCTATGGTTGATGACAGACATTCGCGGATTGATTTCTGGGCTCAGTGGGTGGTGGGAACCAACAGTCCACGAGGTTGTCCTTGTGATGTGAGCAGGTCTTCGATGGCTTTGCTCTGTGTTGGATGTGTGGACTGACTTGTCTGCGCTCCGCGGCTGCCTTGCTCTCCATCCCGCTTGCTCATCATGCCGTTCTTTGCAGCTGGTGTGTTGCTGTGTAGTTTGGCTGCGTTGTTGGTGTTGCCTTGTGCTTTGCTGCGCTGTTGCCCTGCTGTCCATCTGTGTGCCTTGTCTTCCCGTGCATTTTGCTTACACGTCGTGTAGTTTTGCTGCTGCTGCAGCGATGCTGTGTGCTTCGCTGTTGCTGCCAGTCTGCTTGCGCTGTCGTTCCACGCAGCTCGCTTTGACGCGTTGCAGTTGGGTTGTGCCTCAGCAGCGTTGTCCAGTGCTTCGCTCAGTCGTCGCCTGCTGCTATGCTCCGCTTGCGATGTGACCTGCTGGCAGTCTGCTTTCAACAAGGGTCAAGACTCAAAAGGTTCATGACCCAAAGCATCAGTATGGGGATTACGCAGATTGTCGATGGTTCGGCCTCCCGATGAGTCGGGGACAGTCCAACGCAACAATCTATCATCAGTTTTATTTTTTTCAGTCTCTGTTTGCTTTGGTAATTTTTTTCGTTTTTTTTTTGCTTCGGCACGTAGTATTTTTTTAGCCTGCTGATTTCTGTGTCTGCTGTGTGTTTCTTTGGTTTGCTGGTTTTGCCTTTGCTACCTTGTGCTGTTTGTTTGCCCACCCGCCTCCCCCCTGCCTTCCAGCCTTTGTCCCTCTTGCTGCTACTCGCTGTCATTGCTTTGCTGTCTCCTGCCCCTTTGCCTCACTGTTCTTTGTCTGCCTTTCCTCTCGACTCAACCTTTCTCTCTCAACCGTCAGGCTGAGCTCTGGCCACGACAGTTTGGTCCTTTCATAACTTCGTATAAGGGAAGAATCAAGGGAAGAATCAAGGGAAGAATCAAGGGAAGGATCAAGGAAAGGACAAGGAAAGGATAGCAAAAGGATAAGGAAAGGATAAGGAAGTGTTTGAGATTGCAGAGTGCACAACTTTTAGCATGAGATGGAAAATTCAAAATATTAGCAAAGACTTTTCCAGGTTAACACAATCCATTGGAGTTTTGTATAACATGAATTTGCATCTCTTATGAAAAACTAGAGGAAAACTCTCACTACCACAGTGTTGCTGCTGTTGCATACCCCGACGGTCGGCGCCCCTTGACTGGTCGGCTGGTCAGCACCTACCAGTCAGGGGTCGTCGGCACCCCGCAAATTAATAAGAATAAAATAAAATTATATATATATATATACAGCGTTGCCAGGCCGAACGTATGGAGGCCCCTAAGCTGACCCCCGAACGTTCGGGCGTTCGGGTCCCCGTACGGGGCCCGAACCCAAAGGGGTTCGGACCACGCAAAAAATTATTTTGGCACCTAAATATTATTATTCTTTTCTGAATTGTTTTTTTGTGAGTTCTTTGTAATGTAAGGTATCTTCCTCTTAATTTTGAAGGCATTCTGTTAAGCCAAAAAATAATGAAAAATCAGCAAAGATGGTGGTGTCAAAACTTGCTTGCCCACTCACTAATTTTTTTTTCCCTGCGTAGCACGGCGAACGTGCTTTTGCCCCTTCACGTTCACGCGGACGTGTTCTCGCATTCGCGCGAACAGCTCACGAACATGTTTGGGCAAATATATTTTTTTTTTCGTAAAAAAAAAATAAAAAAATTCGGTTTTTGATTTTTAACTCATGATTGGCTACGAATTTGAACATGACACCAAGGCAAATTATTTTACGCAACATTTTTTTTTTTTCARATTTTTYTAAGAACTTTTTTTTTTTTTTTTTTTTTTTTWTKTTCGCGTTTGGAGGGTTTTGGGCGCTTGTTCACGTTCGGGCGAACATGTTCGCGTTCGCCTCCGAACGTGAACACGGTGCTACGTAGGTTTTTTCTTTCCTTTCACTTTTTGTTTTCCCTTTATTTCAGGGCATGAAAAAAATTATTATTTTCTCAAACCTTATTTGTAGGTTCTCTATTATGTAAGAGACACATATATAAATTTTCATGGCATTTGTCAAAGCCAAAAAAAAAACGAAAAATTGCCAAAGATGGCGGTGTCAAAAACGTGCTCGCCCACTCAATGATTTCATTCTTGTTTTACTTTTTCTAATTTTCATTATTATTATTTATTTTTCGTACTTGATTTTTATTTCAAATTTGGTAAATAATTTGGATGTAACGCTCAGGCAAATGTTGTTCAGTTTATTCTTCTGCATAACATTTTTTTTTCAGTGTTTTTTTTTTTTTTTTTGGGGTCCGCGTCGAGAGGGAGTCTTGAACATTCGGGCGTTCGGCCTGTCCCGAACGCCGGCAACCCTGTACTAAAAATAATAATAACAATAATAAAATATTAAAAAATAATAATAAAATATATACTGTGTAGTAGTACTGTATGCATGAATACTCTCTCCACATTCCCTCTGTTTACATCCAGGACACCCCCAGCAGCATCGATTTCTCCCAAATGGAAGGGGCTCGATTGCTACAAATCCCCATGCAGATGTCCAATCCTCCCTCCCGTATAAGATGTCCCTTTTTTCCCAAAAAGAGTTGAAAGACAAAAAAAACTGAAAAAAAAAAAAAATCAGAAAATCAAAGTTGACCTGCTCCTCTCATCCCATCCAATGGCTTTCTGATAAACAAATTCTGCAAAGCAAGAACAGATGGGGAGAAAAAAAAAGACAAAAAAAAAAAAAAGAGCAAGAACAGATCCCCTCCTAAGCTGGGTTACCAGCCCGGCCGCCGGGTTGCCTCAGATTGGCCCTGGTGGCCGTGCCGGGCAAAGTCCGGGCAAAGTCCCGGGCAAGGTCCCGGGCAGTCCCAGTGCAAAAAAAAAAAAAAAAAAAAAAAAAAAAAAAAAAAAAAAAAAATCTGAAAAAAATCTATGTCGTGCAGATTTACAAATCAAACAACTTTTGGCTGAGGGTCACACCCCGAGATTCGCTACGGAATCCGACATAAAAAAATACAAACAAAATACTAAATTATATCATACCCCTTTAAGTCCCCTTGAGCCCCTTCGAGCCCTTCCGAACCCCGCTTATACCCAATAGACACCCTTCTGTGAGACATCACCAAATTCAAAGGTAAGGCCCGGATTTGGGCACATCTCAGTGGGCGCAAAATTGCCCCACTGCCCAAAAACAAAACAAAAAGAAGACACCCCCCCTGTGCAGGTTTGCCCGGGTCGCCCGCCCGCCCGGGTGTCGCGGGCCCGTTGACCCCATCTGGTAACACAACTGCTAAGTAAACTTCATTTGTTATTCAATCAAAGAAAAAAAAAGACAAAAAAGCTCAGTGTGCGATGAAAACAAACCTCCCGAACTGCTTGCCATCGTTTCTCATCGATAGGGATGGGTCCTCCGAGCAGCACTACCCTCTCCACAATTCCAGCTGCAATATGCAAATTTGCAAAATAGCGAACAGGAGACGGCCAAGCACACACGAAAAAAAAAAAAAGAAAGAAGAAGAACAAGGAGACGGCAAGCACAGAGTGGAGAGACACCATTATTTGTTTGTCACTCTTCCTTAAACATTATGTGGCTGAACTGGTTGTTGTTGTTGTTGTTGTTGTTGTTATTGTTAATATAATATATAGTATATACTCTATACTGAGTCTATAGGTTGAATAAATCAGAATAATATTTTTATTACTATGGAATAATGTTCAGTTATTTAAGCTTATTTTCACTTCTGTTGTCATCCGGTGGTGTTTTTTTTTTTTTTCACTTGTGTAACGTTAGGATTTGCCAAACTTTCAAACAGCATCCGCATCCATCACTCATGCAATTTTTTATTTTTTGTTTTTTCATGCAAAGTTGCAGACTGATCGGGAAACAAAGCACGATTCGACGATTGATAGGAAACTTCGCACAAAGCTTGCATTGGAGATTAAAAACCAAATTTCGCACCCACAGAGTCCATGAAAACAAACAAGAAATAATTCCGTCCATGAGGGCGCCTCGCTGCCCTGAGCAGCCAACAACAAACACCCCCCCCCAAAAAAAACATGGCCTGTAACACGGTAAAAAACTACCGCCTTCCCCTGAACATAACCCATCCCTGATTCTGAACGTATACAACCCATATTTCCGTTTGAATGAGGTCATAATGAGGGTGCGTTGTGTTCGGGGGATACGATGGCCGCTATCACTGCGCCCAGACTCTCCTTCTTCAAGGGCTAAAAAAAAACTTAGCGGGCCCCGTCATGCACAACCTTATCAAGGAAAACTGAAGTGCAGAATGCTTTTCTACCTCACTACTTCTGTGACAATGGGCCTCGCTCCCCTGTTGGCCGCACCAAAAAAAAAAAAAAA